AAGTCCTTTTTTTAAATTAATTGACTGTATTTACCATCTGAGTTCATCAACAAAGTGCAGCAGTGCTTGGGGCAGTTAATGCGAACCGAGGAGGCAGTGCGCACATTGCAATTGATGTTCTTATTTCCACGCGGTGCAATAATAGATGCATTTCTCCAGGGAGGTCAACCCCATGCCGTTTGCGACAATGTAGGATAACAATTGTGCTCAAGAAGTCAGCTTCTCAAAATTGCGCATCAGAAGCCAGACGCTCTTGTACAGCTCTTCAAATTCACCGAGCGTCAAAACAAAAGGCCAAAAAAATTATGCCGTTGACTCAAAATAGATCAACGATTTATTTGCAAAACACACAAGTAAAATAAGTCAAGTTATCAGCTGTTAGGGACAGATTTCATTGGTGCAGAGTGCGTTTAGGCGAGATTGAACCTTACAGCCGAGCGGAACATCGAACTGATAATCGATGCCGATTCAATCCAGCATCGGCTTAGGTAGGACTTGTTCTGATTGCACCACTCTCTGCACTTTTATGATATAATCACAATATACATGCCACATAAACTATAACTCTTCGGCAAAAATGCGTCCGACAATCTGTATTTCACACAATGGGCTCGTATTCATTTCGCCGAAAGACGCGCTCCCCTGTAAAGACCGCAGCTCTTCCATTGAGCTGGATATGGCGCTCGACGTTCCAAATCCGGCCCCAAGTGCCACAATTAGAAATCTCAAAATCGCGCCGCTGGCAAGTCAGCCCAAGGTCAACTGACCCACCTGCTCTCGCTGAGCCGCATGATGCTTGAGTGTGCCACGCGGTCGAAGAAATTCCTGGTGGAGCGCAGGGTGTAGGTCTCCCCCGGGCGGAAAATGGACTCCACGAAACTGGGCTCGAACATGGCCGCGACGACGTCATTCATCACCTTGAGAGCGGGATCTCCAAAAGGGGTAAGAAGGCCGCTCAAGAGGAAAGCGCAGACCTAAGAGTCGCCAGCTGGCAGTGTTGGGCAAAAACTTGACCGAAGCAAGTGATAGAAAAACCACCTGGCGGGCCCCAAGAAACGGGTTCCGATAACGAAACAGATGAGGTGGAGGGCTGGAAAGCTCGCCTAAAGCCCCAGGCCAGGAGAAGTGGCAGAAAGGGGACACTGATGGATTCTGCAATGCTGTCAGTGATTTCCGAAAGGGCGCGGCGCGTTTGAGCCCACCTTGACGCTCTTGTCGTTGGGTATGGCCTGGGCCAGCAGGCGCTGCTGCAGGATGTACAGCATCTCCCCGCCCAGGTTGGCGACGACTATGGGCATGGCCAGCAGGGACATGGCGGCGGACGTTTGCGGCCCTAGGGCGGCGGCAAGACTGCAAAACTTGCGCAGAAACTGATGCTTTTGAAGGTCTCCGAGTCTACAGAAGGTAGACAGGCTTGGTGGCGGGACAAAGGGCGGGGGGGGGGGGGCTCAGTCCGTGTGAGATTTGAACGGAAAGAGGAGGGTGCGGGGGTGGAAAATGGCGGGAAGCTGTTCTGTAAGGCCGAGGTTTGGGCTTGGGCTCCAGTTTTGAACCGCGTTTGGGTTCTCGGGGATCGTAGTTCAGGTGCGGGGCTCGCGGCTGGAAGAATTCGTAGGCCGGCGGGTTGCCGGCAGAAAAAAATTGGTCAGCGAGTTTCGCGCCTTTCTTTTTACGAAATTTTGGGCGGGCGAATGGGGATGGGGCCATGCGCGTGGTGGATGGGGTGCTACGTGAAGGAAAGATCTCCGAGAAGTGCAGCGATTTTAGTTCGCATTTTTTGTTTTGGAAAAATATACGAGGAAATAATCAAGATGCTGGTGTCTGACATCCCGTTTAACCCCATGCAGACCGACGGAGGGTGAGCCGCCCAACGAACATAGAAGCGGCTTAGTATCTGTAAATTATTACTTAGCACATAAGTGCGACAAGATTTCGTGTCACAAAAATGTGATGAATGCCCTGAAACACAGCTCTGGCTTTGACGGGTGCGCACGAGAAATTCTATCGAGCAAATTTTATAAATTCAACTAGAATATTATGCACAGAGTACAGTACAATATGTATGGATGTTGGCAATACAATATGCGAAGATTACGATAAGCAAATATGCGGAAAGGTGCTAATAAAGATAGAAGCGCCTGTAATACTGACAGCAATTTTTCACTTGCAAAGGCAGGGATTTGCAGAGCAGTTCATGCGACATTGTTCGTGAGCACTTTGGCTAATTTTCCGCAACGTGTCCAGAGTTTCGTTGATTCTTTTTCTCTTCTTTCTCCGCCGCGTCGCATTTACAAAGAATTATATATTGACACTCTGCGTTGTTGCTGCTGCTTATCGGCTTGCCTATAATGGCACCGCTTCAGAATGTCCGTCCATTCCGACCTCCGTCAGCACGTATCCAAATACGTGCACAGAAAAGAAGCCCTTGCATTAATATGGGAGCAGCGTTGCCCCCACTCAGGTGGGTTGGTTCGGCGGGCAAGGGAACCCGATGCCCCCGCGTGGAGTTACATTCCCGGAACGGGACCCATTCAAGCCCGCGCGGATTTCGTTTTCTGGGCACATTTTCCCTTCAAATTTGCGTGTGTGCCTTGAGATGCATGGTGACCGCCGGCGGCAATGACAAAGAAACAGACAGCCAGACTCCATCACCGCCTCCACTTTCAACAACTGTAAATTGATGAACCAACTGCACATGCATCCTGGACAACTGCTGGCTACGAAGCAATTGGTTTGCTCAACAGGGCTTTGCCCCATCGCAATCGTCTGTATTGTCATCGCGTGCAACGAGAGCGGTTTTTTTCTGCTCCCGTCGTGCCGTGGTAGTCAAGCACACGCTTGTGGCAAATTCTACAACAGTTCGACCATTCCGGAAATTCTGAAATTTCCACTAGAGCCACAGACCTACAGCGCGCAATGTCAAAGACTACAAATAGTGCTCCCAGCCCATCTAAACTTTATCCATGACATTCCCCATCTTCAAATCTTCATTCTGCATGAGTTTGCGTTCTGTTGTCATTTTGATTCAAGATACATCGGACGTGCGTCACGTCCCTCTTTTACGACGGAGTGGCACAAGGCCCAGCACTTTGCGGGACTTGCTTGTGTCGATTTTTTGCTGAAAAGCTGGCGTCCATGCCATCCTGCCGATCACTCAGAACTCATTTGCCTTCATGTCAAATATCTGAAACACGAAAAAATATCCGTCCGTGTCATTTTACGACTTCAAATTTAGGTTAGGTAGCCCAAACTCACATAGTCTTAGGTAGTCAGCGGGTTCCCTGCCATGACATGCTCAAGTTTTAACATGTGCGCCCATTTCCATCGTAGTCACTTCATTGAATGGTCGCTCTACGGGTACGGATGGACGGCGGCGGCGTGTGACCCAAAGCTGTGCACCAAGGGCTGTGAGACTCAGGGGCACTTGAGGTGGGAGTGTGGGTTGTTGGTGCGGGCACACTGAGCCGCTTTGTAGTTGCCGCTTGAAAGGGCAACCACAGAATATGGGTGGTGGTACAAGCTCCACGTATATTCTGAAAGAGCAAAGTCAGCATTTGTAGTATTCCAAATGATTAATGATTAATCATATATGCATGATGTGGTATTTTCTGATATGGAAAGAAACAAGCCGTGTCAGTGCATAAGAGCAATATGAAGCAGTACAAATTGGGGTGACAGAAGCTGGAACCCAGCGAAAGAAAAAAATCCTAAGGGAACATATTAATAATATTTTGAAATAATATTTTGAATTTGGTACGTTTAGCATCAATGTGACGTTCAGATCAGACCCACCAAGCCCCACCCCCGCCCCCAACCCCTCTCCTTTGCGTCAATCCTCATTTTGTATCAAGGATGACTCAACAACATTTTACCTAACAATGCCATACAACTTCAAAATAGTTTTAGGAGAAAAAGCATGCGAAATTGTGGTGATTGCAGTGATTTGAAAACTTCGATGCCAAAAGCCACAATAGGCGATGGGAACAGCCCCAAAGCCCCAAATTGATCCATTCTAGGGAGTCTGTCAAGGATGGAAAGTTTTGAGGGAGGTTTTGCAACAAACCATGATCTATTTGTTGTTGATCAGTAGCGTTTTTGTTGCAACTTTCCATCTTACTTTGATTTCAATGCAATTACACAAAATATTAGCGTCAATGGCTGGGGCCCCACGCTATGTATACCCCACCGCATGCTATGTGTACTAAATTCAATATAGTGTCTTCCCTAACAACAACATTCCAAGAGAACACTCAAAATGTAAACGTATCGTGAGCCCCAAAATATAGCAATCCAAGTTTGGGTGATTCTACCAAATATCAGCAGTGTTTGGTGAACATCCCAGGGTCGTCAAACATTGCCCCAATTTCCCGTTCACAAGCCAAGCAGGTGGAGGTTCCTTGGCCCCATTGCATGGTGATCCGACCAATCACCAAACCAGAGGCAAATCAGCCCCAAAAACACCGCCAAATCCTCTCACGTCCACCACATCAACACGGAGCGCCTCCCCTAAGGTTCTAACCGCAAAAAATCCCCCTTTCCCCTCTTCCCCCACTTGTTTGCCTGCATTGCATGCTCATCATTTTGAACCAAATACTCCATATCATCCTTTTGCCTGAGGGAGAAGGGTCTCACATACACTTGCCTAGGAAGGGTTGCCCTGTGTATGACCTATTTCTTTTTCTCTATACGACAAACCCCCCGCCCCTCCCCCCCTCTTGAGTGCCCTTGTGTGCCCCGTTTCTTTTTCGCTCTGTAACGTCGTCCCCCCCTCCCCCCCTTACGAGAAAAAAAACTGCGTCGCCCCTACCCCTCCCGCCTCCCGCCCCTTGGCGGCCTCCCAATCAACAAAATCAATGCCCCCGCCGCGGCCGCAGGCGTCGGGTTGCCCCGGGCCCGGCGCCCTCGAGACTGCGGAGCGCTCCCCAGGAACCCCCGAGGCTTCCCAAGGCCCCACCTACAGGTCTCGGAGCCTGCCTCCACGACAGCCGGCCCCTCGGCCGATGACCCTGGCGTGTTTGGTGGCCCTGCTGGCCGCTGCCTTGGCGCTGGGCGCTGCCAGAGGGCAGCAGGCAGTTTGTCCGCCGCCTGAGTTCGACGCGGTAAAGGGACTGGATGTGAGGAAATTCGCCACGGCGCCGTGGTTCAGCCAGGCGCAGGTGAGATTTGTCGGGAAGAGGAGAGAAACGCGAGGTGCAGTGGGCACCGCGTGCTTTATGTATGTGGGCACCCCGTGCCTTATCTACGTGGGCGCCCCGTACTGTATAAGGGAGTTTGGGCGAGCCTGTGAGATTGCTGTGAGAAGGTAATGTAGGAGAGAAACACGGCATACAACGGGTTCCCCCCGCGTGCTTTATGTATGTGGGCGAGCGTCTTGGACATTGCTGTGAGAAGATCAGGTAGAGTCTTCTACAGCCGGGCGCAGGGGAGGTTCGTTGCAGCGAGGGAGAGAAACGTGGCATGCGTTGGGCACCCTATACTGTCTGAGCAAGTGTGCGAGGCTCTTTGAGTTTGCTGTGGCAAGATGAAGTAGAGTGTCGTACAGCCAGGCGCAGTTAAGATTAGCTACAAAGAGGAAGACAAACTAGGCATACCCCCCTCGCGGCCCCCCAGAAGACAAGTGTGCAAGAGACTGTGTGAGATGCTGTGGAGGATGGGGTAGGGAGGCAGCTTTGTTCAATCTGGCAAGAAAACATGAAGAAACAGGTCCCTTGCGCCTGGGGAGGCGATGTTTGGGGTCGCTGAGTTTGGGCACTAGCAAGCATCGCATGTCCCTCCTGTGTCGTTGTGTTTCCAAATGGATCCACAAGGCAAGAACCCAACCAGGACAGACTGTAGTTGGCTTGGGCTAGAGGGGTGAGTAGGTGCGATTGTTACACTTCAAACAAAACAGGTCATCCAAAGGGCATTCCTTTCTAAGCAGCTATGAGACTCTTTGCCACGCTGTGAAAATATGCAGAATTTCCTGGTGCGATTTGACAAGCAAGCAATGCAAATAATGCAAGCAAGAGAGGGGCGGATAGGTTGTGCAACACAAGACACCCAATCTCTGTCTCCTGGATTCAGAGTTCTGTGATTGCAAAATGCTGATTCCAAAACATGGGTTCCATGATGTTGAATCCAGAACAATGATTTCAATGTCTTGACTTGCAAGTCATTGGGATGGGAAGTGAGAATGGGGCTGCATGGCTGGGCTTGGAGGCTCAGCAAGCACAATGCCATAGCACAGAGCACTTTGTATGCAGTACTAAATACGAACATTGAATACTAAATACTGTGTACCAGGCACCATATTTTGGGTCCAGTTGCCCATACCCACTTTTGAGGTGTGGCATGACCCATCATTGTTGTGATGGCATTAGCAACATGGCAAAGTGAGACTTGCTGTTTTAGCCCTTTCATGCTGTTGGGCATTAATCCCAACCACATGGGTTTGTTTGGGATATGGCAAAGCCACAATTTTCAAATGACCATCCTTGTTGTGAAATTGTGGTACAAGGTTTAGTGTTTAACAGTACTTTGTTGTACCACATTTCCCGGAAAAGGTGTGGTATGCTGAAGAACAGGAATGACCACTGCATATGTGCTGGGGTAGCTCACTAAATGGAGTGGAACAGAAGTTTGACTAAGTAGATATAGGGAAGGAAAGTAGAAAGTCAAGGATGATTGGATCAATATTCTTGCGTGGATTGGGGCAATGTCAAATAAGGTTTTGGATAGCTGGATCACAGTGGATTGTTAGTCTGCTGCGGTGAAATTCCACTGAAAATGAGGCATTCTTACTATGGCAGGTATTATCATTACGAATTGACTGTGCGATTATGGATAACATGAGTTCCCAGCTGTATGGATATGTCACACGTCGATTATTACAAATATGGTAATGCCTAATTTTCATTTGCTCAGATGACCTATCTTCCACCAGTGCCCCTTGAAACTGGTCTTCCATTGGCACCATACTTGGGTACAGTACCTCTTGTTGTGCAGCAACAACACTCTGCCTGGTACTTACCTCCACAGACAGTGGCAGTACAGGGTCCAGTAGTTTGTTCTCTTGTGTGGCTGCAGTACAGTATTGATTCCAATACTGTGCCGTGTGCACTTTCATGCAACTGTAGTACATGGACCCAGCACAGTATGCTCCCGTGCACCCACAGCACTTATTTGTGTGCTTTGTGACTGCGGTACTTAGTCCATGATTTTGTGGTGCACAGATGCCCCTTTCCTTCAACCCTGCAGACCAGTTCTACTGTGTTCGAGCAAGATACCAACTCAATGACCAAGACGATCTTACAGTGAGCATCTGATTTTCAATCGCCAGCTATTCTTGTTTGGAATAGTATTCTTAATGATCGAATTCTGGTGTCTGTTCATTCCAGAGTAGCCTCACATTTTCCAAAGCTGTGTTAGCAGACTATCAATTGCATGGATGCTAGTCAGTCGATTTCTGATTTTCCCACTTTTGTTTCAAATTCGGACACTCGCAGCTCATTCACTGTGACCCGCCCAAGAGGCACATGTTTAATTCAGTACAATACTAGTACTGTCCATTTCAAAGCCCTTTATGCACACTCTTGTTCGCCCGCCACATCATGCCAATGCCCACTTGCATACACATCCCATTGGTCCCTTAATTTGCTGCTGCACTTGAGCAGGGCAACAATACTTTGTCCAGGGCTCGAAGCAGCGCAACAGGGCAAGACATTTTGTTTGGTCCTTTGACAGCGTGCCACAGTGGTGTACGTTGTGCAGCACTTTGTTCTCTTCCAATACTTTAATTTCTGATGGCAGCTCCCTCTGTCTTGTGCAGGCTGGAATAAAGGTCCTCTTCTACGCAAATGAAGGGAGGGTCAATGGGCCAGTGGTGAGCACAGCCAAAGGGTGAGTGCAGGGCCCAGATCGTTTAATTAATTGGATGATTTGTCCATCCAGTTATTTATTGTATGATCCAGCAACTGCTGCTCTCCCCCCATGCATGGTTCCACTCATGTTCTGCAGTTCTAATCATCAGCTGTTTGCCACAATTGCCATGTTCATGGCAGCTTTCTGGAAATTTATTGTTTGAGTTAGAAGCAAATAACATAACAACATACATAATTGTGTGAGGTTAGTCATGAGAAGCTAGAGAGCAGATTTGACCACTGCTCCATGCATTGGGCCGACCTGGATCATCCTTGTGAGTGAAAGTACTGTGCTCTTTGTTGAGATACCTCATTTTGCCATATGTGCTGTTGATATTGCTATTTTGTTGAGTACTGCATGGTGACAGCTGCTTTGCACGGTGTTTTGTGGCATCTCAGTGTTTGAAACAAGCTAAATAGTTAGTCATAATCATATAAGTGATAATCAATAAATCAAACACTAATTTCCCATTTGCAGCTCTGTTCACCTCGAGCAACACAGGGACGCTGCTGCTATCAAGTTCTTCATTCATCACCAAGACAGCCACATCATGCAGTATGTTGCAGTTCTGCCCACTCTGACTGATGGCAAACACAATTGGATCATTGACTGTTGATGATGATTAACTTATAAGAGCTTTTTTTGCACCAGGTCCACACACGTCGAGCAGAGTGGCAACATCACCGACTTGGAGGAGCCCAGCAAGTTTGACGTCCTTCCAACCAACCTGCAGACCATCTTTAGGAAAACCCTGCTCCGGTTCTTCTTTCCGGACCATTGGGTCGTTGCTGTCGGTGAGCCCCGTTCTGACCTAATTAGGAATGTGGAGTCTGACACTGAAAATCTGGCCATGGTCGAACATTTGCTGTCGGCAATAAGGAAGTTGCTGATCGCCGCCGCTGTTATTGACAGCGACATCAGCAGTCAGCAAAAATCATCAACACATTCAGCCAATCAGAACATCTTACATATCGTGAAGAGGAGGTTGCTGTAATCCCTTATTTGTCAACATGTTTTCCTCGATCGGAACAGCAAAGTTGTAACACTTTCCAAACATGCGTTGAAATTTCGACACAATTGTCCATCTGCATTCTTCGGGTCACTCTTCTGCTTTACAGAATTTTCCGTTGACTTATCGCTAACCTGTATGCTGACCAGGCCCCTCCAAGAATCGCACGCTGGCGTATGACTGGGCAATCGTCAGCGCTGGGCCCCCAAAGACGCCGGGGAAGGCCGGGTGCCGAACAGACATCTCATTCCTGGGGCTCTTCCAGGTGCACCAGGGAGGTGAGAGCTTGGGCTTTTGGCAATAAACTACTGCAGGAAAGTACTGCATCATGACAAAAGAATGGCAGTGCATTGATTCAGTAAAGTACTGCGTTGGAGTGTGGCCATATTGTACTGGACGAACACAGTGCCACTTGTGTCGATGCTGCTCTGCATATTTGTTCCAGGACCCTAATGGGTTGTATCAGGAAGGCGAGGGCAGTGACATTTTCTTGATAAGTGCTGCACTGCAGCACCACACTACAGAAGACACTTCTGTTTCCAAAGGATAAAGTCCTGCCATTGAGCACTGACTTTGTGCCCTTTTATCTCAACAGTGCACTGTATGGCAAGAATAGTGCAAGAACACAAGGTACTTTGGCGAAGACTACACTGCAGCATTGTTTTCTTAGCAAGGCAGTGAGTTTCGGAAGAGCTGCAGTAGGGTGGGATAAAGTACTAATCTGCGATTCATAAGAATATGTAACGTCCACCATATGTGATATTCATTGATAATGCTGTATTTGTTTCTTAACAAGACGCTGTACTGCGCGAGTGTTACTGTTGAGAAATTTCCAGATTGGGGCTGACTCGTACATCGTGTGATACTTTTTGTCAGGCTTGTGGCTGCTCACAAGGAAGCCAGTGGATCCTGTTGGGACCTCCATAATGAGGAATGTGGCAGAAGGTGTAGTGTGCCTATTAGTCATTTGTATTATGTTACTTCAGTGGGTGATACAGGACAGAAACCAAGCGACTATGTCCATATAAATTTTGTCCATCCATAATGAGCATACACCGCAATATATATTTGTTTCAATGGAGCTATAACTATGTATAGACAGAACAGATCCACCAAGTTGGCAATTTCCAATGTTCATTGAGTACAGCGCCAATGGCCAATGTGTTGTAAAGGCTGCTGTTCACCTAGACAGGTAGTTGGCATTGAGTTATAAGCATGTCAAGATTGCATTGGTGCTTATTGTTTTCTTATTTATTATACAGTTTTCGTTCTATGTTTAGTGTATGGTATGTTTGATTGTGCTACTGTTGAGCTGCTGCTCTTCTTTTCGTTTCGTAACACTGGCAGTTTGCTAGGGTGTCTAGTGTAACCAGGGGTGTCATTCAGCTATTTGGAAAATGTGTGGTGTGTGTAAACATGAAATATAGAGTAGTGTATCATCTAACATCTGCTGAAATATACACTGAATTATATTGCAGAGAAATTGTATCTGAACCTATGCATCTAAGGACAATCTCCTGCATGGCCTGGCAAGTCTAACAAGAATCTTTTTTCAGGTCTGTTGACAAATATGGGAACTGCCGTTTTGTGCCAATGGACTAAATGCGACAATGCTCATTTGTCGCCTGCTTTCTTCATTGACTTGAAAACATCTGTTGTTTCGGTTTTGCAGCCATGGGCTTCGACCTGACAGTCCTGGGCGATGTCCAGCAGGCAGAATGCAAGTACATTGGGGCACCCTGATGCAGCGACGCTGTAACTTGGTATCGCCATGGTGCAAATAGGTAATCAAAGATCCTGGCGAACTGAATTGTTGGGCTGGAAGACTGAAGGTTGACAAGACAGCAAAGGGCCCCAGCAGGGCAGTGACAGGTCAGTGGCCCAGCACGTGAACCAGCTGGTGAGTGGGTCAGTGCAGGTCCTGTGGCTCAGCTGTCCAGCAGAGAGGGACATTGAGAGGTGCAGAGAAGCTGCGATGAGGCTGCAGGCAAGAGACGCTAAAATGGAATGAAGGTGGCTGGAACGAGGGAACATGAATGAATGCAGGTGGAGAGAGGAGCAAGGGAGGAGGTAGGGCGTAAGGAAGGGAGGCTGTGTTTGGGATTTTTTGAGCTTGGCCCTGGTGGGTGCCGCGTGCCATCGCTGCACATTACCACGCTCGGTGTTCAAGGCTCGGGTAGCAGATGTACAAGGGATCTTTTCATCGGATGGTGCAATGCAGTGACATGCTGTTTTCACAGGGGTGTTGGCAAGCTGTGCATTGGGACGGTGAAGTGGTGAGGCCAGGGGTGCCTCGGTCAGCACAGATGCAACACCTCGAGTGAAGATTCATCTTTTGAATTGTGAACCAACTCGATTGTTTGGGGGGGTGGGGGGTGGGGGGGCCAAGCTGTGTTTAACATGGGTGTGGGACTCAAACAGGAAAGAAGGGAGGGGGTGGAAGGGTGGGGCGGGTGGCGCACCAGAGTTGGGACAAGAGCACTACTACTTCTAGCAGATTTTAGGAGAGGGGCCGCTTGGGATCTGGACTGCCTGGGGCGTGAGCCTGGGCGGCGATCAGATCGCAATCTGCCATCAAGGCGATTCTGGCAACGTGGCAGTGTGGCACGGCCGCAGCCGATGAGCGGTACTGGCCGGATGTGGAACTGCTGGTGTAGCTTGAGTACTGGGCGAATACGCCACTCAAGTACTGTTAGTGCACTTGGGCGAATACGCCATGCAAGTGCTGTTAGTGCACTGGACTAGAATACAGTTTTGCTCAACTGAAGCTCAGTCGAAAATGCTGGACTAATGGCACAACTCCCTAACTGGCCGGCTGGACCCGACAGGACAGGACGGCATCTGTTGGGTGAGCTAGGGTTGGCCACATGGTGCACGTGCCCCTGAGTGGTCACAAACTCCTGTCACAGCATTCCTGTCACAGCACTGCTGTGCCCTTGTTGAATCTTGTGAGCGATTCAGGACCTCAAGACCAAGCGACTCAAAAGAACCCTGGCTCGATTCAATATCTGGCGGCACGATTGGTGGGTCCAGCAGAATGGATCCAAGGCTCTGTTGACTCGAGACTCGATGTTCGTGAAACTCATTGTCGACTTCAGGCCTCCCATCCGACTTCGTCAATGCCGCAGACGCCTCGGATGATGCCAAGCATGGATGCTTTGGCACCATATGTCATATGTTCCATGGGAGGCATTTGTGATCATCCTCTTTTGCGCATCTGCCAGAGGTGCAATGGCCCCGCTTTGTGTTTCGACAGCACCTTGTAACAAAGGAAGTTGAAATGTGTCGGAGGCGACTTTGTGCTGCCCTCGCACTTTCAGGGCGGCTGCAGACGAGGGGCCAGCGCCAGAAACAAGTCTCCCAGAGGCCTGTCAGGTGGGGCCCATGGCCATGGGACTGTTGTGCCTTTTTGATGGCTTTGGAAGCAACCTAAAGTTGTTGGTCATCGGCTATGTGAGGTCCTGGAGGCAGGAATGCTGAGCATTTCAAGTTGGAAGGCATGGGGATGTGCTCACCGCCAACTCTTCACAACGCACTGGGCATGTATTGTTGTCATTGCTTGAGTACTGGGCCAGCAGAGCGTTAATAACGTTTGCCAGAAACTGTTGTGATAACAAAAGCACCCCCGCTCTAGCCGCCAGGCTGGAAGTTTTTAGGCGCTTTTGGGTGCCGAGGCTGTGTCGGGCAACTGTGTGGACGTCGATAGGCCGATTGGAAGATGGGGATCGAGTCTGGGGTCGATGGGCGTTGTTGAACAAGGAGCTGTGAAGGTGGTCGTAGTTTGGTGGAGGAGTTGTTGGGCCGATGCTATTCAAGGATTGTCCGAGATGGCGACTTTCAGGGTTCTGTGGGATGGTGTTTTCTAAGAGTGTATGGGACGGTGTGGACTGGACTTTTGCAACGGCCTGGCGGTGGGATTGGATCCCGATTGGTTAGCTGGTAGAATTCTCTTCCCCGAGATGTGCAACGAACTCTGAAATATTGTTTTTCATGTTTGCATTTTCATAATCATGTCCTCAGATTCATATATTATCATATTTGGCGATGTCAAAGTCTTTGAAGCGATGTGCATGTGGCTGTGCCCCCTGTTCTCACAACGCATCTTTCACTGGCGTCCGTCATTCGCCACAGGCACACGGCTGTGAGTAGATTAATGTTTCACGCTTATAAGCAAAATGCACAAGTTACTCATCTCTTAGCAGAACTTCCATGTTTACACTTTGCCTGAGATGTCCTCAAACCCTGGCGACTAAGGGGTTATGTCGGAAAGATGGCACCCTCATTACAGAGTGGTATTCATTAAGTAGATAAGTAACTAAATAGATGAATACACAATAGTTATTTATACGTTTATTGCATTAGTACATCAATTAACGTTAGCGGTTAACGCGATCAAATACAGAAGTTATGATGTCTGAATTTGCTGTTTGAGCTATTTGTTCATGCCTTTAGCGCGACATAGCGAGTTCCTGACGCTGGCATCTCGGCAGGATGCAACCTGCCCCAATTTGGGCTCCAATTGAGGCAAAATTGACTGCACCCTTCCCCAAGGCTGTGCATACCCCCAATCCCTTGCCATTAGTTGCGATTAGTAACCGTGTTACGTGGCCTGCAACTTGCAAGTTTCTCGTCGAAGAACTGTGGCGAAATGTACCTGCTTCTGAAGCCCTTTAGCAGTGGACCGGACGGTGCATACGCCATTTGTATTTGTGAAGCATGCTGCATAACCAGAGCCAATTGTGCAGTATCCACACAATTAGCTCTGGTAATGTGATATGGGCAGGAATGTGTCGTTGATTGCAGTTTTGGCGATCCACAGTACGGTTCAACACAAGTACAATCGACAATACATCTCTGCTCGTCATTTGACAATTTTCCGTCGCATTACAGGCGATCCAACCGCACATGGTGCACCAAAATAAGGCCGCCTCGTGTCACAATTCCAAATGAAGCTGGGCCCACAAACAACCTGGGCTGTGATCGGGAGGCTAAAACGCCCTTGACCCCACGTACATTACCCACATCTTCCTGAAAAACTATGCCTCATGACATCGCATAACGTCACATCACGTCACGTCGCGCCAATGAAGTTGACTGCCTGAGAATGAAGGCGCGCACACATGCCCCCGGCCACAGTCCCATGAAGCAACGAAAGAATCCCATGAAATATGGCCAACAAACAAAAAAATAAACGAATGATTTGAGTACGGGACGCAAAATCCCGACGCCTATTACCACGACTGACGAGCCAAATGAGCGTCACAACGTCCGGACCCCAGGGACCAAGTCCAGCGCGCCAGGGCCGCGTGGAACCTTCTCGACGCTCTGAACCGCCCTAAGCCCCTGCCCGTAAAAAGGAACACTGATAGGATTACCGTTGCGTGCTGCAAAGAAGAGCATTTTTTTATTCGTCCACTGGACCCTGTAGATTGAGAGGGTCTGCTGACATTTTTGGACGGTAGACGGTCTGCTGAAGTCTGTGGACGGCGGGCGGCCTACAGAGCGCCCTCGTACTTGCAGCCCTCCTGCTCTACCTTCCTCAGAACCGACAGGTCGAAGCCTTTCTCTGCAGGGATAGCACAAGATACCAATTCCAATCATCAGTCATCATTCAAACAATGTTCCGTTGTCTAGAAAACGTTTAAAGTTCACTGGACTGAATTGTTTTGATGATGGACTGAATCACATCATTACTGTTCTACAGCCACATTAGCATATTGATCGTTGTCTATTGAGTCAATTGTATAAAGCGATTCTGCATTCATCAAGAGAATGACCCTTCAGAGCATTCAAACCTGTTAAATTACAACAAACATTGCTAATGAACTGAATTTCGTTTCAAATGCTAACCTAACACCGGATAAATGGCGTCGATTGGACATTCCTTTGTTCCAGTTCAAACACTGTCACTACCTCAAGAAAGGTTCGCAGCAGAGAGCGGAGCGTACGCAGTTTCCTGAAGTGCGGTTTAATAGCCAAAATGTTGTTGCGATCCAGGAATCGTCACAAGCAATTATTGACAACAGTTTGGCAAAAATCAAATAACTTCGTACCACAAATTGCTGACAAATATCCAGCATGGAATACATAAGCAAATGTATTCTTCCAGATATTTGCGCGTCAACGCAGGAATGCACATGGCAGAAACAACTGTTTTCAGGTACATTTACATACTTCCGGTATTCCTAAACACATATTGATGCATCTCAGGTTGTCAGCGCCGGCACTTGTTTGCCGACTAATTGCCGAAAAGACCCTGCCGGAAGCGGTCGACAAATTTGCATCATTTACCATTCACACCAAGTTATTCAAATGCTAAATTCAACACAACTATAGAGTATTATATGGTTTTATTTCTATTGTTCTTTTTGTAATTCGGCTTTCAAAGCCGAATGACGAAGGCGGAGACTGAGCATGCGCATATGCTGCCAGAGGATTCCTCACCCTTGGCCACCTTCCTCATGGCTTCCGTGCTCTCAGGGTCCACCGGCTTCCGGGAAAACAGCCAAAAGCCTGCGTGGGCCACAGCGATTAGTCATGACGAAGCCAGTCACGTGATCACACCCCACGGCCACTTGCCGCACACCAACGCACCTAACAGATGCGAGAGTTTCGCGAGGGCCACAAATACTTTTCATTGTCTGACGCTACTTTGATGAAAACCGCGCGAACTTGGTCACTCTGCACCAGCAACACCCTTCCAGCCCAATGTGCCACAGGTTTCCTAGTTGGGAGACGCGAACAATGCCGCACTCTTCCAGCAGTGTATTCAATGCACATGCAGTCATTATACCCCATTTTGCACTCAAATGTACAGCTTCCGTACCGCCACTGTACTTCACCATTTGCCATTGGAACGCTGTTGTACCGCTTTTGGGCCTTCGGTTCACCCACCTGCGCCGTTGATTTGGAACCTGTCCAGAAATTTGCTGCCCGTCATGCATCCATCCATGCCTCGCGTTCTTGGGGGCCCCCCACTGATGATGGCCCAGTCGTAGCCCAACGTCTCATTGCTGGACGGACCTAATTAGGTCACAAAAATTGATGCTTAACCACAGAGACCGGTCAATAGTTTGCTTCAGACTATTTTACATTTGAAATTCATTCTTACATTTACTGAATTTACAGAATTTCAGAATTGGCTAAAAATCAATACACGCCATTGATTAATAGTTGCCAGATCACTAAATGACAATTCACTATCCATTATTTTTGTCGCAGTATTGAATGAAGCATAAAATATTCAAAATGCATGTATAATAGAATACATGACAAAATCAAAAAACGCAAAAAATATATACAGGTGTTCCTGTAAGCATTGCATGTATTGCCTCGAAAAATAAAGCAGAGTTATGTACAGGTGCTTTGTCCGCGTGGTGCTCTCTAACGCCACGCTTACCCACTGCCACCACCCAGTAATCGCCGTAGAACCTCTCCGCCAGTTCCTCTCCGAGAAGCTTCTCGAGGAATGACGGACCCACGAGCAGCTTGCTTGCGTCATTCAGATCCGGAACGACCGCCTGCAGCTGGAAGCTGCTGCCCCTGCAGATGACGTTAACGGGACAAATGACGTCACTGTTGACAACAAATAGCTAAAACACGCAGCTAAAGTTCTATGCCCTGGTACTGCACATTACTTAATACTACAAATTGGGTAACTTCCAGCCGATTGCGTCAACGCACAGCGCTGATTGGAATGAAGGAACTCGAAGTTCGCGTACCCTAACACTACCTTCGGTCCTAATTAGCAACCAGGACGTTGTACCTGGCCCTCCAGTCAATAGGGTCGAAGGGGCATCTCATGTTGCGGCAATGTACCGGCCACATTCGCCAGCGTTTGCGTGCCTTATATATGGACCACAAGTACCGGCATGAGCTCCATGCATGCATCATGAGCGCTATTCGTACTGCTATTGTATCGCTAAGTACAGGCATGCGGCAACATCGGATATTTCCCCCAAAAAATACTGTGTATCGAGTCAGGTACAAAAGTGTTACCATGACTCAAAACATAGAAAGACAGATAAAGCACGAAAAACAAAGAAAAACGTTAAATAGACGTGTTTTTGAACCCACCCTGTGCCGGACGTGCCCTCCGCTGGACCGTTGACTTCGCCCTTGTTGGCATAGTTGTATACGGTGATGCCTTTCTGGGAAGGGGAGCGGAAAGCTGCGTTAGTCACACAGCCAAACGAAGAGCAGCATACGGTACGGTATGTGTATCGGAATTATTGGTCTCGGGACGGGTATAGGAATGAACATCGTTATCATTTTGAATGCGGAAGAATAATCCACATGACAAGGACGATGAGGTGTTTTGTCGAATTGAAAGTTCCGGGAACTGCAAAAGGGCAAACACCAGAAGCACCGTGGTTCAGATACCAAAGTGCGTCGTTGAGGTGCTATGTTATGCGGTGGTGTGTTTTGTATGCAGACCACTGTGGATGGGCTTCTTATGTACTTTAGGAGGCCATTTCTGGGCATTGAAATAAATTGAGTTGTATGCCTTTGTTTTTGCAGCTCGTTTCAACTTTCCTTGTTGGTCGTGAGAGCAACAAACTAACAAACCAAAAGCCCTATGGCCAAAATCAAACGATATGCTTTCAGAATCAATTGGCAGACAGAAATGTACCCAATTTTCTGATGGCACTGGAACAAATACCATGGCGGTAATGACGTGACATGGTGCCCGCCATGCCAGTGTGACTATGGATTATGTGACTGTGGACTTGGCATTATGGCGATGCTGGCAACACTGTTGGGAGATGCTTGTAAAGGGAGCCGTGGTCCTTGGGGCCCACTCACCGTGAGGTCGTCTTCGTCCTGCAGCACATATCTGGCGCGTACGCAATACAGGTCCTCCACTGATTGGTACGCTACGGGCATCTGGCAAGACATGGCCGCAGTTAGTGGATCGAGTTAGGTTGCAACAAGGAAATACAATTTGTAAAATGGTTGCTTGATCGCATACAAGGTATTATCGCTCCATGAGTATGGAAGTACTGGCAAACACTGTCTGGTGCCGATGCTTCGTGTAGTCCTGTTAACAGCAGCAGCACCCTTTAAATGCGATTTAACATCACAACAGATCTGTTGATCTAGATGTGATTTTATCATATACTGGAATAAAGTCGTGATTGACAAAATTCACAAATCGCTTTTTCAATTGTCTTGCAGTGTTTTCAAATCAGAAAAGCAAGACACACAAGACAGCCAGAGGGCTGACATACAGACTTCGGCATCGTCTGCCAGGGCGCTCCGCAGGGCGGGCCGGGCACCACATTTCACACCGTATATCGAATATCGCCGCGCAACAGAAGAGCAGATGCATCGACAATCGTATTTCGCATCGTACATCACGTATCGCTCCTGACGCCATCGTATGCCTCTCCCATGCGCCACAAATGTCGCCCAACGCGCGACGCCAAGCCGCAAGTCCCCCCTTCCGACAGTCAGCTGAACCCCACACCAAAACGACTGACCGTCGGCACCAAATCGCCTGACAATCGGCACCGAAACAACTGACCATCGACACCAAAACGCCTGACCGTGCGCACCAAACGCCCCTGCCCACCTGCTCCTAGACGTCCCACGGGGCGGACAGATACCCCCTCAGGTCCGGCCCCTTGACCGAGTCACCAAAACGACTGATCCTCCGCATCGAAACCATTGACATTCCTCATCAATCGACTGACCATCAACACCAAAATGACCGACCATCAGCACCAAAACGCCTGGCCGTCCGCACCAAAACGCCTGACCCTCCGCTCACCTGCTCCTGGACGTACCACGGCGCCGACACGTACTTTCTCAGGTCCAGCCCCTTGACCGAGTCAAACCCGGGCGGCGGGCACTCAAAGCCATCCCGTGAACCGGGCCACATCGCTGGCGCTGCCGTTCCGATGGCCACCAGCGCCGCCAGGACCACGACTTCCAGAATCTTTCCCCTGGTGACGATCATCATCGCCATTCCCCTTTCGCGGGCGGGACGGGACTCCGCGGCGAGTTTGAATCCGGAGGCAAAGGGCGGGAGATTCTGTCAGGGGCGTTTGGGCGGTTCGAATCGGGGGCGGGAAACTGGCGCGGGGGGTGGGGTGGGGGTATGGGGTGGGGGAGGCTTGGCGCGAAAGGGAGAGTGGCGGGTGTTTTTATGGCGGTGTCGGCGACGGGCTGCGGTTCGCGACACCGGGGTTGATGCTGTGACTTCTGGGTGTTTGGCGGGGTTGACCTTGGGATGATGGCATCTCTGCGACCGCCAGAATTTGGGCCTTTCTTTGTGGTTGGGAAATGCGGAGGGCGGAAGTTTAAGCCCCCCCACAGACTTTTGGGAGGGGAAGGGCCGGGGGGGAGGGGGCGCGCTGGCACAGCGCGGGCTGTTCGGGCCGTGCCGTGCAGCGACATCAAGGCGGTTCTGTGGCTGTGCAGTGGTGCCGTGGCGGCGGGCGGGGGTTGTGGCGGATTGCGTGGCGGGCGGGTGTTTGGAAAAGTTTACCGGCTGCTCTTTTCATCGTTATGTGGACATTTTGCAGCCCAACGCAGCCTCCAACGCCAATGCCTCATTTTGCACTACGTAACGATTGGTTGATTGAATTTAGGCGGCATTGAAGCGGCCTGCCACGGGCGGCCAGAACCCTGTGGCGGGCTCTGGTGCTGCAGTACAGCGGCGCTGTCGGGGTGTGGCTGCTGTGGAAAATGGGGGCACTGTGGAGGATTGTGTGGAGGCGAGCAGCAAGGCAGGCTTCCCACGACCCCTGTTCCTTTTCTGAATTACAGAGAATCCCCAAAAGACAGGGTAGAACAGCGGGGGGCACGTTGAATTCAATTAATTGAATTCAATGCGTCTCCCACCGTAAGTCATGCGCGTGACTCAGATGCCTGAACCTGAAGAAAAATGTTGCCACCACAAGGAAATGGCATGTGCAGATGTTCTGCCAAGGGACAGACAGAAGGTGCCAGGAAGAGACGAACTGAAAATGTGCAATTGAATTTGTTTCTCGTGCTGCAAAGCCTTGTCGATTCGTCCTCGGATCAGCACCTAGTCACAGATACCATGCCGACCTCAGAGTGTCTTGATCGAAAGGGTGATCCTGACAAAAATGAACGGGCGATGGACTGGTGCGAACAGCCAGTTTCTATCCTCAGTGAAATTGACCATTGTTAAGGTTTGGAACAGGTCATGAATCCATTGGTCTGCGATGCCCAAGTTCAATGCATCCAGAGTTTTACCGTTACATAGTCTTCAACAGTGTAGAGTCTACGCTTGCCTATGTGGACATGTGATGTTCATTCAGAACGTCATTTTCCCGTTCCTTTTTTGCCCAACCGATGTAATATTTTGCCGGAAAAAATGGGGTAATGCATGTGCAAAAGGCCAAAACACCAACCATCAAATGATGTCTATATTTGCCAAAAATGCGCGGCACGTGATCATTGCCAGGCTTGGTTTTTACGTTTACGTTTACGTTTTTACTTTTACGTTTTTACGCGTAAAAACGTAAATTTGCAAAAGGGCCTATTTTTACGGCTATTTTTACGTTTTTACGGCTCCCTTGGACGCCCAGATTACATGATGAAAGTTGCGTACAATGATCAGTCCTCCGCCATATCCAGCACCCGCAACACAGTGTCCACCTCGCCCTTGGATAGGGCGATGATGGTGTTTAACAAAAACTCGTTTTCTGTCCCTTGCAGGGCGTCTGGCTGCCACTCTCCGGACTCCGTATGTCTGCATGTACTGTCCTTATGTACACCGGGCAGTTTTTACGTTGTATTTACGTATTTTTACGCATTTTTACACGTAAAAACGTAAAAACTGTTTTTACGCGTAAAAACGTAAATACGATCAGTTTTTACGGCGTAAAAACCAAGCCTGATCATTGCCTCGACGGCATCTCGTCGTATATACATTGTATATACATTGCACTCGTGTTGCTGTACAGTAAGCAAACTCGCTATTGCAAAATTTCGTGTTTCAAGGAGCCAGTACGAAAATATTCCTTTGAGCCTCTGCAATGTTTGGAGGTCCTCGGTTACCCACGGTGCTCCCACATAACCAGAATGCGCCAAACTACAAACAAACGAACACGAAATAGCACACGTACCTAAATATTTGTGCTCAAGTACATGAACATTAAAGCACTGGGAAAAGTCGGCATTTCTTGGCGCCCAACCAGCCGTTCGGCGCTCGCCGAGCGCTAATATGTTAGGAAAGAGCGGCACAAGGCTCACTGTACATTACAGCACTTCTTTGTATCGCTGTTGCCCTTGCCACGAGTCCCTGGCACCGCGTTGGAAGGAGGCGGGGCGCCAAAGCCTCCCGCCAAAGTGACCTTTGCTGGCCAAAGTTAGTTACAAAGGGGAAGAGAAACGGGCCATACGAATGGCAGCACCGCCTAATCAAGTGTGCAGATTTTTGCCAAGGGAAACAGAACAGGGCATACAAAGGGAACCATCACTTGAGCCGAAGTGGCAAGACTTGTTGCCAAGGGGAAGAGAAGAAGACCATACGAAGGGCGACCCCTCGTAAGCCAGTGTTCGATCAACTATTAAGGGGAAGAGAAACAGGTTGCGCGAAGGGCGCACCCTCTAAGCAAGTGTACAGAATTCTCGCAAAAGGGAAGGAGAATCAGGCGACACAGAGGGCACCCCTCCTGAGGCAAAGGCTAAGATTTGCGACAATGGCAACGAGAAACATGTCGTGCAAAGGTCGTCCCTCCCTAAGCGAATGTGCGGATTTGTTAGCAAGGGAAAGGGCAACATGTCATACAAAAGGGCACCCCCTGCTGAGCAGAGGAATGTGTGAGACTCCTTACATAGTGCGAGAAGATGATGGTAGAGTCCTCCGTCGAGGATGGGCGCAACGCACTTGGGAGCCTCATTGTGGTTTCTCAATTGGGACCCTCTCCCAGGACTCTTAGTTGGGATTTTTGTTGGGGATTGTTGATGGGGACCCTGGTTGAGAATTGCGGATGGAAATCCTGGGTTGATGGGCGGCAGCGCAGGGGCGCAACCACAGTCTGCATTTGTCAGAAAACATTTGAGCACCACCGTAGCACCTTCAAGGGTGACGCAAAATCCTTTGTGTGTGTGGTCCCTGATGGAGATTGGAGTGCACTCGCCTGTGTTTTTCCGACCCATATGCTGAACCCTGTCAATGAAACCCTTGAGGGTAAGCCTTGGTGGGAATCTTTGAAAAGCGGGAAGAAAAAGTGGGAAGAGGGAATCTTGGGAGATATCAGATATGGCTGGGAAAGTGCTGCTGATCCTTGCCTGTGGCTAGTTCAGGAAGAATGCTTACTGGGAATCTTGGGAAAGTGGAAAATTTTTGGAGAGTGAAAACATCAGGAAATGTAAGGAATACGGGAATGTGCTGCTGAATCTTGCCAGTGGCCTCTTCAACGAGAACTCTAGCTGGCAATCTTTCATGAATCTGCTCCAAAGAGTGCCTTTCAACGCAGTTACTTGTTGGGGATTGGAGCGTGCGCATACCCGTTTACTTGCGCTCATGTTGCTCAGTTGTGTGAGCGGTTTCTGCGGCGACCAGGGACTGAAACTCTGTCTTAGCTGGATAGAAGAGCCCCTAAACACATTGCAGAGCAAGCGATGCCCATCCCACGCCATGCTTCTTCTCTGTTACCAACGTATACTGTCGATCTAACTTAACATTGTCTGTAAAACTGTGTCATTTGGTGACCCTTCACTGAACAGGTGGAAGTGGGGGCAATTCTTCTTTTCTGGACGATAATACTCATGAAGATTTGCCATTCCCATGGGGAATGGTCGCTTGCTGCCAGCATCTTGAATGAGCTGAAAACTTGCCGTCTCGGCAGCGACTGCTGCACTGAAGAAAGGAACAAATTGCAGACATTCCCACACTGAGGTGGTCACGATCCGTCCCCACATTGTCAATATTATGCCCGTATTTTGAAGTGCAGCTGCTCAAGTGCCTATGGCAGCGCCATATTGAATCATCTGTCTTCGTTTATTCACAACCATTATGACAGGAGAACATAAGGGTGCCCCACTGTCTGTCAATGGTATTATTGACTGTAGCAGCACATAGATTGGCTTTGCACGATTGAACTTCAAGAGAGTCCTTGTGAGGAGACATGATTCATGAAGAGAGGAAGAGAGGTGTGGCAACAAGGCTTGTCAGGTGGGCATGTGCTCGCTGATGACACCAATGTGCCATCGATATTGGGTGCAAGCATGGGTCGCAAGCCCACATTTGTGCTGGGAGCGGACGCAGTCTGCCGCCAATTGCTGCACTTCTTGTGCCCCTCAGCGTCAGCACTCTTGCCCTTTGAAATCTCCTCAACCACATGGAGACCTCCACATCTGGAATTTTTGTGGTTGAAATCAGCACCTTCTGCTGGGATGTTGCGTTGCGTCATGGCTGTAGGTGTCAGTGAATCACATCTCAGTGACCGATGGCTTACAATTAAGTAAAGGTCAGCTTAGTTCAGTTGAAACAAAGCTGGAAACAAGAAAGCGCTTCTTTGACAAATTGACTGCCGATGGATGGCCATTGCTGTGCAGGTATCAACGGACATGAGCCCTTTGTGCCACGTTCCACTATGTATTACTTCAAATGTAAATTAGTCATGCAAGTATTTTGATTCTATCATATGAAGTCATTCCAACTGCCCTGTGTACCGCAGTGCTGGGGCCACCTGCTGCCCCACGCGTTGGATCGAGTGGAGGCGCAGATGATGGAGCACGAGGCTGCAGTGTTGCACTGGCAAGGCAGCCTTGTGAACCGCCCGTGGTGCCAAAGAGCAACACAGGCGACCAGACATCTCCGGATCAGGAACACCACGATGTTGAGAGCCCATCGATTCACTGCACTGGAAGGCCTCACCCTTGTGGCACCAAATGGAACAGGCTTGTATTGGGTGGATGATCTGATGCAAATTGAACAGTAGCATATCTGGCATGGCTGGATCCATTGCCACAACTGAAGCATTTTGTGATTGATGACAACGTCTTGGGTGATGGTGGCATGGCGCATTTGGGTCGTGTGGCGAGCCTTGTGAGCCTCGAGCTGCACAACTGCTGCAGGCTTGTGGACCAAGCGTCAAAGGAGGCTTCCTCCTTCGTAGCTCTCACAAGATAGCACCTGCGTTATTGTGTCAAAATTTCAAAACGGTGGAGTTACCGGCTTGGCAGCACTGCCACTTCTGACAGATGTCAGTCTAGTTGGCTGCAGGTCTCGGGGTCTGGGATAGGCCACCTGGCGGCATTGCCAGACTTGAAAAGGGTGCATCATCACCACACTCTGGGTGGTTCCGGGCATATTTTCCAGACAATGGAATAAGAATATTTTCACAGATGACAAATCTGGTAACGTTGAGCATCCTAGACTGCAATGGCGTCAGGAGTGATACGGTGGCAAGCCTGAAGTCGTTGACCAATCTGACAGATCTGCATGTATCAAGAGGAGTGTCTGATACTGGCATGGGAGCTCGCGCAACCTGCCAGCTCCCTTGCCTCCATTTTCTTCACCAGCGCAGCCATTGATTATCTGCCATTGCCATCCATGGCGTTGAACCGGTAGAATTTCGAGAGAGCCTCTGGCCTCAGATTTCTTGGGCACTCACGGGGAGCGGGCGCAGAGCAGCAGACAACCGCCAAGCCACAAGGCCAGACAGATGTTGCAGGAACCTTCACCTGTAACAAAAGCCAAGCACCTGTGTCCAGATGTTGCCCGAAATTTGGGCACAGGAACAAGCTCGCAGGTGGGCACCCGCGGCTGTGCAGCCTCGGCTCTTGGGAAGGTGAAACGGATGGGGAGCAAGACAGCATCCTGGGGCGGCAAAAGCATCAACGATTCTGAATGTACAACTTGCCGCGCTTGTTCCTAGGGGGAAAGAGGATCAGTGGAGGGCAGCCAACCCGGCTCCGGCCAAGCCCTCACGCGCCAGCGGGCGGCCCCACGTTTCCGGTCATCGTTTCGCTCGTTGACCCACCACGGCCATGGGCCACTGCACACAAAGCCTGCCTACAACGTGCCCAAACAGCGGCGCTGCGTCCCACACTGCCACAACGCCAAAGGGGCACATGCCGCTTCCCCATGCCGCCACCGCAAACAGGTCGCTGCCCAACTCTTGTCCACGAGTTTCTCGCTGCTGCAATGGGGCCCATTGTGACTTCACGTTCAGTCAGCCCGCGCAGTGGCAACACAAGTGCCGGACAGGCTGCCTGGGCAGGCAGCAGCTCCGTGCACCGCGCAAGCCGGCGCCACGATGAAGTCACGCCTCAGTACAGGAACACACCCCCACAGCCTTCCACGCGCCCCACACTTGCTCACGTGTGGGCACGCTGCGCAGCGCTACACTGCACGACTCTAAATAACTCGACCCTCGCTCACCCGCTCGCAATGCCCCGCGAGACAAGCCACACATCCGCAGCACGCAACTCCCGGTGCAAGGACTAAGCAGCAACAGCGTGCTGTTAAACCAGCCGGCTTTCCCATCTCCCCGTGAAGCCTGAGCCCGCCTCCAGAGCCCATAATACTCCGCTGGCAAAGTCATTGACAAAAAAGGCAGCCGGCTCATGCACACCATGTCGAGTCATTGTGCTCGCCATCGCTGTGCACAGCACCCACTGTGTGGTGCGCGCACAGGTCTGTGCATCCACGCCCATGGCAGTAAACTATTGAGAAGATTGGACACAGCCGGCTGCAGCTCCCTATCCCAACCACTCCACACGCGCCCCAACTCCGTCTAACTACCATCTTATTCCAAGGAATGCATGCACCAACTCAAATTCCTTGTCTGTACGATCGCGAATGGCCCGCCACAGTCTTGTGCACCGCTGCCCAGCACTCACACATCCACCTGCACACTTGGCCGGTTTCTGCGCCCCACTCTATCTGCTGTTGGCAATGTTTAGGCAAGCACCTGCGGCCACACAGCCCACTAGCGACTAAGTTTCGCACATTTCATCTGTAAAAACGTGCTGACAAACACCTTGCATTTTGAGATAACCAGTGTCTCAGCATCCATTGCATGTGTGCTTCACCCTGTATTGCTACACATTGACACATCGGCTAGGCAGGCCAATGCAGTTAGCTGCCCTTGGTACAACATACCGCCGTAAACCGCACAGTTCATTTTAAGCAAAGACATCGCACCACTGCTGTGGTTTCAGGTGCGGCTCCCGGCATTTGAGCCAAATGCAGATGACCACGTGCGGCAAAGATGCGCTGGGAAAGCCAGGGGTACTCAACCCCGAATGAGAAAGCATATCTGGAGAGGCAACTCTTGTTAGGAACGCAATTCATCTGATGCATTGAACTTAAAGGTCCAGTGCAATCAGCAGTGGCGTAGACACACAAGACAGAACCTTTCTGCCATGGGTAAAAGCCTCCTATATCATTGCAACATCATTGGTTGCCTTGTTCTCCATCTTGTTTCTGGCTTTGTCCTAATGAAATAAAGCCAGAAACAAGGTGGAGAACAGACAGCTGGGAGAAAGTGAACGGCAAGGGACAAACACAAAGAATTGCACAGGCATGACCCACCTGATACGCATTCCAGATTCACGATCTCTGATCGCTGGACTGTGACATTTCGCTCGTCGATGAAATCATAAGTACAGGTCTTGGGATTCAGGTCTACATCGTGGCACTTGAAATTCTCAGCATTCTTCTTCGCCTCGATCCAGCCATCCCGGGTGCCAATATAGTCATCTTCAAAGAGGTGCAGCATGGCCTTCACCTTGCCCTTTGACACGAACACCTGCACAATTGACAAGGAGTCGCCTTGAAGGCACATGACAGAGACTGGGGCAGAAGATACCACGACGCACAAAGCTACACAGCGTGCAAAACCACACAAGGATGCAAAGGATGCAATACACATGCCACATAACTATACAAAGAAACAATATTGCAAAGAACATATGGACAGAGACATAGATATGCACGAGGTATTGTACATAGAAATGCAAGGGTAACAAGCATACAGGGACAGAATGTGCAGCAGCAGTCATCGACTGCTTGTGCACTTCCACCTCTAGTATAGCTCAGTATGCCACCTATTCATACTGGTCACAATCAACATCATAAAGAACAGAGAAGGACAAACATCGAAAAGTAGAGTGAATAACCAACACAAGCCAAAAGCGAATTGTCCTACAGCATGTGTTTTCTTGCCATGCCACACATGTGCACTCCTGCGAGACCCCCCTCTGTGCCAAAATGTTGCATCGGACACAAAATGAAGTACACGCTTGATTTCATCCTGAGTATCACATGGTTCGCCCACCTTGAGTTTCATGCACCAGATGAACGGGTCCACCACGATGAGGCCCTCCCGAGAAATAGTGTTGTGCAGGAACTCCCTGGGCGACACGGACACCAACAGCCGCATGTCCTCGTAGCTCTGGATCGACCCACGCACCATCTCGATGCCTGACGGCCGCGTTATGTTGTGCAAACCGTCGGCCTCGCAGGCGTCAGGGTTTTTGGGATTGCCGCCAATCTCAACATCGACCCAGTCCACCTTGGTGCCACCGTCTGCAGGGCCAGGGGAAGCCATGTCAGACAGATGTGCAGTGGCGCAGCATGGTACTGGTTGCACTGCGGCACCATAGTGCGTGCGACACTTGTTGAATGTGAGGTGCAGTAACGCACATTGTACCAGCATATTTACGTGGCACTGTATTTAACTGAAGCAGTGGTCAGGATCGCAAAAGTATGTGTTGCTAAAGCACTGGAACATCGGCACATTGCACATTTCCCACACACCAGTGGTCTGGGCATCTGGCTGAGAGGATTCCTTCAGTCCACAGCACTGCTTCTTGGGTGCCAATGGCATGAAAAATTGTGTTCTAGGTTAAAGAATAAACACCAAAAGCCTAGAAGCAGGCCAGGAATGGAGGCTCCCTGCTGCGGCCATCTGCTGTTTCGCCCTGCGCCTCTCAGCCTTTGGGGGCCAGGGCAAGTACAAAGTTGAGAGCCAGAAGAAGTGCCCAAACACCGCTTTGTGTTGTTTGATGAGCCAATCGCAGAGTATATTATTCTTGATCTCAATGTTCCACCATACCAAATGTTGGCTCAGTTTGCTTCGTTCCACTCACACACGCAGCACCATGCACTCAGGGCTGTGCAGTGTCCTGCAGCATGAGAGCTCTGTTGCGGCACAACAGGCATCTGTTTCGTGTTTTACCTTTTGTTCCCTGATCCAAAAAGGTAGTTCTTATTGCATCGAGTATGACGATGGACAATGGGAATTGCCTTAGGGTATGCCAAATCTAGAGACAAACACTGTTCTGAGCTGCACAAGAGCTTTATGTTTTGCCGCTGGCATTACCTGTTTTGTTCATGCACCAGCAACAGCATTTTCATTTAACCATTATATCACAGGGAGGATCTTTGTTTCCTTCCTCACCATTCTCTGTTTCAGGCGAACACTGCGGCACCCAATCAGCATATGCGATACTAAGTGGAGCACAGTTTTGGGGTTCAGCAGGCACGCAGCTGTCACAAAACACCAACAATGCCAACCTCGATGGAATCCGATCAGCAACAGCAGTACATGCAGTACATGTCTGTTCGCCACCATCGGCACACACAACAACTTGTTGGAGGCCGCTTTTCCAGTAAAGCCAACATCATCTGGTGTGGTCCTTCTTACTGCCCAGTCCAGTAGAGGAAGGCAAATGCTATGGGCAGGGACGCAATGCCGCAGCGATACTTCCTCTAGCACAGTGTTGAAAAGGAACTGACTTTACATGGAGGCTATGTTTTGCTGGGAAGCAGCATGTGAAGCACACATCAACAATGAACAAAACTGCACAGCCGCCCTGACTAACTGCTCGCAGGCGCACCACCATGGGTGTGTGCACAGGCTGTTTTTCGTCTTGCATAGATGATCATGGTCAACACAAGTGCGGGATTCTCCCCAGTTGGACGCCAGCACCGCAAGGGTCGCCCAGCAGGGCAGGACAGCACGAGCGATCCTAAGGTGGCGGTGGGAGGGGTGAGCAACTGCCTGAGGACTCAGCCTGCAACGCCCCAAACGTCGTCGAATCGCCCGCATCATCAAACAGCGTCGCCCCCAAGGCATCCCACACCAACAGCAGAGAGCAACAGCAAACTGCCACGCACAAACGCACACCCCAACGCACATCCCAACTTTCCGCTCCCCACCATTTCACAGGAACTTGTCTCGTGGAAAGGAGTCTCCCAGGCGCTCGCTCAGGAGGGGATGCCCCCTTTGTACGACCTGTTTCTGTTTCCCTACGCAGCAAATCTCACCCCCCGCCCCATCTTCGCTTTTCTCGCTTCAACAACTCCTTCGCCTCTGGCCACGACTCTCGATTCCCGCAGTGCGCCAAGATCAGCGCCCCTGAGCGCAGCGACGAGAGGACAGGCGTCCGCGACGTCGCTCTGGCCGCGACCGAACGCCTAGGACTCTGGAGACGGCCGCGGTGGTCAAAGGCTGTCAAAAAATTGTCAGCGCCGCGTGGGACAGCTGCGATTTGCCGGCGGCCCCCTTTCCCCGCCAAACGCGGCGCGTGCCGCAAGTCCATGAGAGGGACCGATTGAAACCCAGTCTCACCGCAGCCATTTGCACGGGCGATGGGAAGGGGAGGGGTGCGGGGAGGGGGGGACTTAGGCGAGGCAGAATTCGGCGACCGCGCCAATCGCGTCAGGCGCCGCCCAGTCCGCGCGCCCACCTCCACGGCGCCCGGAATTGCCTTTCCGGCAGCTCATTTGCGCCCCCGGCCGTTCAAAATCCCGCGACATCCATCCGGTCGCTATAGGCAGGACAGAGCGATGGCGACGAGCGAAACGGCGAAACGACGCAGGGCGCACGAACCACACCAGCACGAAGACAGGACAAAGGCCGAAAGGGCAGCGCCCCGTGAGCTTGTCCGTGCCCATTGCCCCCACCCACCCCCGTTCCCCACCAAGAGTACCAGACTTGCACAGGCTTGCCTGGGAGGGGGTGCCGTTGTTGTGACCTGGTTCTTTCTCTCGTCGTAACAAATCTTACCCCCAGCCCCCTCCCAACCCCACACGCACATCGCAACCACCCACCGATGATGCTCATCTTGAACATGCCCTTCTCGAATTGGTTTCGGCACGGCACCGACAGGCAGGCGTGGCCCACGGTGTTGGCGCTGGGGTCGATGAACGTGCCGTTCCACATGCCGTCAAGGTCGGCCGCCGTCAGGTGCTGCATATACTGCCGCCCCTGCAGCAGGGCTCTCTGCCAAGGACAAGACATCTGTCAGAGGGCCGCAAAACCAAAGGCAAGAGAAAGTCCGAATCGCAAAACCAAAACAGAAGAAAGAAAGAATCGCAAGACCACGAACAAAAAAAAGAATTATCGCCAAAGAGGGCGAAAGACCGACGCAAAGTGGGCCCCTTCAGGCGCTGCGTACACTGCCGGCCCTGCAGTAGGGCCCTCTGCCGAGGACGGGACATCGATCAGAGTGCCGCAAAACCAACGGAAAGAACATAAGAACGAAAGAACAAGAGAATCGTCGCCAAAGAGGGCAAAAGTTCGACGCAATGGAGCCGTGGGGAGCAGAGTGTCGTGCAATCGGGGATTGGGGGTTTGAGGGAGCTGCGCAGTGACATCCTCAAGGTGGAGAAAGCATGAGCAAAAGCTGGGAGATCAGCCAGAACGCGGCAAAGCCACAAACAAAGAATCATCGCCAAAGAGGGCAAACGATTGGCGAGGGTCGGACTTCAATGGAGGGCCACAAACTGGGGGGTGGAATTTTGAAGGCGTTGCGCCGCGGCATCGTCAAGGGGGAGTACGCATGAGCAAACGGCGTGCGTGGAAGGCGTGTGGCGCCGTTGTTGCCGGGCGGGCGGGCGAGACCGGAGCCGCGCGCGCTGTCCCAGACGTACGGGGGGCGGCGGGGGATCCGCGGTGGGTCCGCGGTCGCCGGTGGCAATGTCAACCTTATCGGAGGTACCGGAACAGCCTGGGGGGAAATACACAAGCACCTCGAGCAGCGCTCCAACTTGCGGGGCGGGAGGGACGACGCGCCAGACTATTTGCCACTCGGCGGAGCGCTGTCGAGGGGTTTCTAGATCCCGGGAGCCCCATGAATTGGTTCCATCATCGGCAGCGGGGATGGTGTGGGGTTGTGGGAGCGCCCTCACCTCCCCCGCCATCTCCCTCGACCCCCGGCATGGCGCCACGCCGCCCAGCGCCACCGCCAGCGCCGCGAGAGCCAGCGCAAGCATCCGCTGCCAGGCCATCCCCTCGTCGATTCTGCGCCGCGCGCGTCGGCGTCGATCGGCGCGGTTTTCTCTTTTTGGCGGTCTCTTTTCGGGGGGGGGAGGGGGGCCCGTGGCTGGGGGTCTGGAGAAGGCGGACGAGGTAAGACACAAGGAGGGGGGCCGCCCAGCCATGCGCGTGGCGAGGGCTTGACCAACGGAGGGCGAAGTACTGGGCAAAGCACTGGCGTGCCCGGTCCGGTTGGTGAAGTACTGGCGGCGTCCGGCGCCCTGACTGGCGCGCTTCTGCAAAACCTACATCTTCGCTACTTCATTACCTTCACTACTAAACCCCAGGCCGCCTGGCGCTTCGGCGTAACCACCTCAACTTGCTGCACTGCCAGCCGCCACCTCGCTTGTTGGTTGGGCGCAAACCGCCCCCGACAGACTGCCAAGAGACGGTACAAGAGTCAGGATGTGCAGGGCGAAGGAGATGATGAACTGTGCGCAAGTAAATTTACGATGGCCTGGCCGGCTGGGGCTTGGTCACCAAAGACCAAGCCTGGCAGCGCGATGTTCCCACTGACGGGCACGAGGGCACGAGGGTCGGTGTGGGACTCGAATTGCGAAGAACGGGTGCGCCGAGGAGTGACGCCGTCAAATGCTGCTTGGGTTGCTGGAAGGTGGGCGATTCAAATGGCGAGGACTCGCGAAGGGGCGGGTCGAGTGGTGGCAAGGTGGCGGCGAGGGACATCGGCATCCTCGCGGGACGCCACACTTCGACGTTGGGGAGACGTGCCGTGAAAGCAGCGCTCCCGAAGTGCAATTGTTGAATGGCCATTACGTGTGACTGCCTATTACGGCTGATGAGTCACGGCCATGTGTATACACTCTAGAGAATGTGTCCAACCCAGATCCCCAAACAAAGGGACCCTAAGGACACACAACAACCTATTGCTATTCCAGCTGCAAATGCGCAGGCCAGCTGAAAGTGAACTGGGCTGGTGACTGGACCAGCAATCACGCCCGTCACAGGCTGTGCAGTGACGAGCCCTGTGTCCCTTTCCCGCGCGTTCTGACAGCGCCTAACACGCTCAGAATTCCACAAAAAACTCAGTTGCCCTTTCAGTCGAGCAACTTCGCGAGCAAGGCCAGCAAGCTGAAGAGATTCACCACGCATCAATGACCTTGCCACTTGCCAACACAAGCTACACAGCTTCCTGAACAGCCTAGCTAGTCTTGCAATCAGAATAGGACCGTAGGCGCTCAAGTTGACATAGACTAATGTCAGGAGTGCATCACCAAGAACTTTCCAGATTTGCACCAGCTGGTTGGTATTTATAAAAACACCCAACCAGTCGCTTACGTTTCTGTCAGGGTTGCTTATGCTACCCAATGACACTAACACGTCGTCAGAGTATATCCTGACGTCCAGCGTGGCTGTGTATGTACTATAGGGACTGAGAAAGTCCCGCTACTTTTCAGTGGCCGTTTTCCAGCTTCGGCGCAACTGTACTATTTGTGCCTTTGTCAGTGAATGCCCCTTTCCGTTTTCCCTTGTCGATTTTGGGTTTGCCTTGACAGGGGCAGGGGGACACTCGGTCTGAGCACGCTTTAGCGGGGGCGTTTGTACACTACAGTTTGGACTTCCCCCTTTCGGGCTCTCGCCCATTACAAGATCATATATATGCTAGAGTGCCTACTGCTGAGAAGGTTGCACCCGTTTTCAGAGCAGTTATAACGCCCTCCCACAGCTCCGCCTTTCTCTTATGATGTAATTCGCACTGCCATGTCGGCGAAAGCAAACGGAATTCGCACGAAGTTCGCTGGAGGTGATTGTGGGAAACACGGCTGTGGATTCACAGCATGCAACTTACAATTCAACACTTGTCATGGATTCCGCTTTCTTTCTGGGAATCCTTATCACTTTTCAGCATGCATACAACTTACCATGAACAGTGCCACTTACTAGCATGCGATATGCTACAGCGATTTCTCTCATCAGCCAGGCTCAGCCCTCGGAATCCCTTTCCAGGGGAAGGAATGCCTTGTCGCTTCGGGCGACAGATTCACACGGCGCTTCGCAACTCGCGGATTCGATTCAGGCTCAGCGATCTGGATTCGCACACAGAATTTGACGGCCACCGAACGTTCTTACACTTGGATCTGCATCCTACAATGTTTCAACACTCGTCTGCCATCAAGCACCTCGTGGTGCAGGGCGCGCCAGGTCGCCAGGGGCTAGAACACAATGTCAACAGCCCTGCCGCTATTTATAGACTAAACACCCCTTCCTGATCCCTCTAGAAACTTCCCTGATCCGTCCCTATCAAACCGCTGATCCCCAAGTTGTCACATCACTTAAGAACCTTCTAGATATCCAGAACCTTCCAGACTTCCATTACGTTATGACCACGACTACCTCACGGCTTCCCTAATCAGATCAGCGCCCTCCTGATCCGATTCCATGGCCTCCCGTCCAATCGCCCACACGTCATGCGTCTCGTTGTCCGCAATTCGCCTGAGCCTGCCCTCGCTTGCTCCCCCATGCCTCTGCCATAAGCGCCAGCGCCTCGTTCGTGCCCCCTATCGCTGGGCAGGTCTTCGCATCCAGCTAGCGCCTAGCAGTCCAGCTCGTCATGGATCCCAACGTTTCTTACGCTGATCGCAGCCCCTCGTCGGCTTGCATATTCCATGCATGGCGAGGTAGGCCGCTGCCATGCAAGCAGCGCAACGCAGCCCATGCGATTTCGCCGTCTTCATCGCCGTCATCGAGCCCTGGCAGCCACACTCTCGCACCCATGCTCGAGCGCACCGCTGCATGCCACCGCCACCGTTCGTATGGCACTAAGGCGCTCCGCTTCCCTCTCGGCCAACGTCTTTCATGCTGACACCCCACACCGGCACGACGGCAGCTCCAACGAACGCCATGGCCTCTTGCGCAAGCGGGTCCCCTCGTTTCCCTCTGACACCGCGTGCAAAACGCCTCGGAGGCAGGCAGGGACACCGCCCGCCTTAAAACGGGTCAGTCGGGGGTCAGGGGCCAGAATCCGGGGCCTCGTACGGCATCCAAGGTTGCCATGACGCATTACTGCGCATGGCAGCCCTGGACGCTCTGTCCAAGGTGCACCAACGCCTCGTACGCACGTCGTTACTCCTACCGACATGTATGGGGTCACTGACTCGCACGTGCCAGATCATGGGACGCCGTATTGCACTTGTTGACCCATGTCAGCCTGTGAGGCTGACAAATTCAGGGCAAGCCACGGTGCACGGCTTCCCAGCGGTCCAAGGTGACCATGACGGACACCCACCAACACCCCGCCAAAGGGGCAGGCAGACCCTTGCCCACCTTCTGGGCCCTTTTGGGGTGGAATCACTGCATTTGTTTGGTTAGATTCAGGGGCAAAGGGCCCCCGTCGCCGGCATGGCTCTGTTGTATCTTCGTATCATGTAACTGATCCTTTTTGATGTCCAATGCTCTTCTCGCCCACCAACGCGCGGCCAGCTCCATCCATATACGCTCAGCATGGTGCCATCGTTTTTTGGCGTCCCCAAGGGGCGACGGACCCCAAGCACTTTGTCCAGTAGTTTGGATAGGCATCTCAAGGTGTACTAGCTCCTCAAAGGGCATTTTCAAGGGCAGGGACTGACCTTCCGACTCATGGCCCATTCTGAATGCTTGAACCCATGCGCAGGAATTCAGCACGTTGACTTTTCACATGTGGCCATAGACGTGAGATGGACCAGCTTGCCGTTTTAGACATTTCGCTGAACCGTCTTTGCTTTCTATCATAAGGCCATTCGAAAGCATATTTACGTCGATTGGTAATCGCCCTTGTCCTGGAGAATCACCGTCTTAAATTTACGCATCAGCTTGGGCAGATCGTCCGCACGGACTTCATGATGTCGCAGCGCATCAATACTGCAAAACATATAAACACCCGGGTCCATTCCGTTTAAGCATCGTGATTCATACACCTTGAGCTTTATAAAAGTTCAGTATATACAACGGCCCTGAAACTGTCCTTGAAAAGCACAGAGCCCCTGCCTTGTCCTTGTCAACTGCTCAGCCAATCTTACACCGGATCACTGAAATCCCTCAGAAACTATTCACCAAAACATTCACCCTATTTGTGACCCCAGAATCAAGACAGGAGCCTCAACACGTCATCAGCCGTCACTTGCAAATCCTCACGTCATCTCCCTACACCAGCCATATGGCTCCGCAGTGTGATAAGGCCATTCCCGGTACACTGATTTGATCACAACCTATCATGTCGTTACACACAGCCCGGTCAGTGAATTCCATCACTTTCATATTCCAGGGTTAGTCACCAGCATGTCCTGACGTACCAGGACTTAGTGACTAATGGTATGTTTAACATGGGCGCACCACCTATCCATTGTGCATACTCCGAAATGCCCATTGATGTTTACGACTCAGACCATTTCCCTGACCATCTCCAAGGAGAATCAAAAGGTTGCAGCTGGTCTTCATGAAACACTAAAGAAGGCTTGCGTCCCGGTTCAACTAAAATTCCATCACTGTCTGGCAGTTTTTGGGCCTGCCAATATGAACCTCTAACTCTGCCCACCAGCTTATAAGGACCCTTCCATCTGGGTTCAAATTTGCCAGAACGGGTATTAGACGCAACCTCGTCATAAACCAAAACCTCCTGACCTGGGTAAAAGTAGGCAGGCTGAACCCGTCGCTTTAGATTTCTCTTAACGCGTTTTCCAACCGATTTCTTGTGGGCTTGTTCAATAGCAGCCCTTGGAGCTACCCATAATTCTACCGGAGACCACCCAGTGGCTTCATGCTCAGCAAAATTCACTGCCTCGATGGCAGCGGGGACGTGCTTCACCCAGGAGCCCCCAAGGGCATAGCGAAGCTTCCTAAGTCTGTCAACAAAAGTGCGCTGGAACCTTTCAATAATACCAACGCTTTCGTG